ATTGTATGGGAGGCGACGTGAGCAAACAAACAGAGGGGTAGACAACCCACGGAATGGGTCGAGGTTGTAGAGGACGTATGGAAGGGGCTCGACATCGACGAAGATGAAACGCTGGAAACGGAGGGTCTACAGGGTTCAAGGAGAACATATCTGTTGCTTGTGCCGAGAAAGAACAGAATCTAAAGGAAGAAACCAAGGATAAGGAGGGTCTAGACGTGTACGGAATGTTGAATGAAGGAATAGGGTTCAGGGATTACCTACATGGACCAATGGATGCAGGAACAAAGCTTAAGGTCAAATTCAGGACCGGGGACATAGGCCTTCGAGAACGTCGACGAAGACCCTTCGAGAACGTCGACGAAGCCGACGAGTTCATATGTGATTGCGGCTTCGAATGCGAAGACCGTGTTCATNCGTTAGGATAGACAGACTAGAGAAGACTTTTTTGAGACACCTTTGGCAAAGTAGAAAGGAACGATTGGCCATCGGTGATCGGTCCTGTGGGAACAATGGTCCGTCCTCTCGAGGACGCGCGGTCAATGGTCTAACCGCTACGGCATGCAAAACACAAGAGTACGACCCCCCCCTCCTCCTCTCCCCGTCCGCTCTAACCTTTTTCTACGATGAAGCAAGTGATGCCTTTGTACCCCTTCGAAGGGTCGACGTTGGCGAACACGAAGAACAGCTCCGCCTGCTCTGCGTTAGAGATCCATTGCTTTTCTCCCTTAAACGCGTGCAACAGCAGTAGACAGGAGTAAATAGCAGCACCAGTAGCAGTAACGGCAACAACGAACAAGCAGCGTCTGATTGGAGGGAGGGAACTCAAACCGAGCCTGAGCGTGCGGAAAAACTGAGCAGAATCCAATTCGCATGAATAGATGTTCTTATTTCTATTGAAGAGTGAACAAACCCAATCCCAGCTCAACGTTCGTTCAAAATTTTCAGTTCAAGAACGAAAAAGGTGAAGCAAGGCACCACGTACACAACTACAGCACATGACAATCATTTTTCTTATTCTTGACTCTTTCCCGCACACCTCTATGGTGTAGTAGGATCTGTCCGGAGAGAGCGTGGCTTTCGTGGCGAGGCTGAAGGCGTCGCTTCCCGACCCGACCTCGGACAAGCAGAAGCTCGAAACGGAGCCGGAGCAGAGCTTGGGGAAGTACTTCTCCTGCAGCTCTCTGCTGCCCCAGAACCTTGTTGCCCGTTGTGCGTTGAATCCGTTGCGTGTTTGTGGTACAATGCGTATTGCAGCGGTTTCTGTGGCCGAAAGGGAGGTCTGAGGATCTACCGTCCCTAGCGCGGGATAGGAAGCTATGGTGTTGTCTAGGAAGACATGGTGTTGTCTAGAAAGCTATGGTGTTGTCTACGAAGCTATGCTGCTGTCTAGGAAGGCTATGGTGTTGTCTCAAGAGTATAAAAAGAAATGATTACCTTGTGTTTGTGACACGTGGTTAGTCGAGGGACCTGGAGAACAATACAAGCCCCCACCGCCTTCGCCCCCACGAGCGCGAAAGCGCCAAGCTTATTCTTTGTCGCCCCGCCTCACCTAAGCATGTTACTGATGAGGGTGTTCTGAATGTCCACAAGGACCGCAACAGCCGGATCGACCTTGGCGACCTCCTCCACAACGATGCACGCCGACATGAAGTTGAGACCGCTGCCTGGATCGATGATAGTCCGCAACAGACGCAAGTCAAACGTTATTTTATTGCCTTAGAGAAAAGAGAAAGGAAATGACAAATGACAAACCAGAACAGAAAAAAACGCCAAATCGATCACTCTGTTGATTCACCAGCCGATGAACCGATACAGGTACACTACGGCAATGAGAGAAAACAACAATACGGCAAAACAAAAGGATAGGTAGGTTTCGCCAGCCTACCTCAAAAAAAGAAACACCCAACAAAATCCGCAACAGGACGCACGAGACTTTTAAGTCTCACCCCCGAACTCTTCCGGAGCCTCCACGCCCATCAGACCGTGCTCAAACAACCCCGAAACTACTGCTGGGTCCATGGTGCTCTCCGTGTCCATATCCCGGACTCGCGGCCCGATCACGTCCGCTGCGAACTTGGACACTTTTTCACCGGCATTGTCACATTTTTAAGGTACAGAACGGGCCCGCAGTCAAGAGATATATTCTTGAGAAACGGAGGCTCAAATGTCCACGAAAAATATCGAAGGAGGTGCAGGAAACATAGCGATGGATCCTACGCTAAGCTCTACATAGCAACCTGTGCTCGACAGTGACGACGACATAAGAAGCGGGGCCTCGGTGCGATTTATGACGTTTCTTATCTCGGGGCCCATTCTGTACAGCACAGGATAGCTTAGAGTGCGGCACGGGATCGAGTGCCTATGTACTTGCCGGATGACGCGCCCGTCCTGTGAAACGAAATGGCAGCTAGAAAAAGTATGATCATGTGTCCTCGAAGGCCTCCGTCTTGTTCATTCCAAACAAATTGTTTTGCGCAAGTGTTGAATTCGTACCAGAACATGTTAATTCCTCGTCGCCGTTGAAGGTGGCTGACTGGGGGGGTCTACTGAGCAAACATCAGCATCCCACGTAACGAAGATATAAACAGGCCAGGCATATGCTTCGATCCACCACCGTTACAGCACGCGCCACCATGACCTACTGCTGTACCTGTATCTCGGATCATCTCCTCCTCCTCTTGGAAGTCCCTCGATGATGTGGTCAACCGCCGTTTATTTCCGCAACAGGTGGGGGCAGTGGTAGTCATCGCAGACCCTGCCCCCGGCTGCATCCCCACCCTACGAGGGCGCGCGGGGCGTAGCGGGGGAGCAAAGCCTACCGCTGTAGCTTTGCTGTTGATAGCTCGACACCCGGCGTTCGAAGTTGCTGCAGGTGTTGCCGGCGTCACTGATGTTGCTATTGTTGGCAAGGGCGGGGCATCTCAGAGGGGAAAGCCCGAAGAAAAATGTTCGCGATCTCGAGCAAAACTGCAACGAACGGTGTATTCCTCTCTAACTACTTGGACATGGCACGATCTTTGAGGAAAACTACTAGTCTCCACACCGGTCGACCCGGTGGTCTAGTGGTATCCTCGTAATCCGCTAGTCGCCGAGGTCGTGAGTTCGAATACCCAATGGGGGTGTACTCATAGTCGTGCATGCCGTAGTCGTTAGGCCATTGACCTCGCATCCCTACAAAGCCGGGACGGAGCACGCCGGGTTCTCACCGGACCAGGCTCTCACATCACCAAGCGCGAAGCGCCGTGAGATATTCGGCGAGTCGCATGAAGGGTGCGCTGCATCCTGCTAAGGGTTTTCGGCATCTTGTGCTTACTTCCTTGCGTACGGATGACAGCTGCGTATGACTTAATTTACTTTCTGGTGCTTTCACTTCCAGAGACAGTTGTAAGCACTGTGTAACTGCCTCGAGGGTGCTTGACCATTTTAACACAACGTGGTGCGATCATCCCCCTTGCGCGGAGTGAGGGTTCTCCACCCCGCACAACATGATCTACTCGACCACCATAATGGTTACCGCCAAAAACAAAACAGAGGTAACAAAAAAAAACGGTAACCTGGTTGCCGAGTTCACGAAGTGAATTGGCTTGTTTTACAACGTCGTTGCCAAGCGACGAAAACCCAATCCCGATGGCAAACACCGGGGGGGACGAATCCCCATGGGGTGAACATTTTACGAAATTTGCGGGTGAAAGCGAAATATAGCTAAAAAGCTATCGTGAGTACCAAACTTCGACGTTAGCACCAACCGTTGAAGGAAAGGGACGGCTGGACCCTTCTCGCGATAAAAATAAAATTCAGCACGCACCGCAGGAGGAAGGTGGGGCATGAAAAGAAATAAAAACAAGAAAAAAGCCCTGGTGTTTACCCTCTCCTATGTGACCGTGGATGGTTGTAGTTGTACGAAAAAATACACTGAAAAGTGTAGTACTCTACATACGCTGAAAAGTGTAGTACACGTCTCACCACGAAAAATGGGGGGACTGTCGCCATAATAAATAGGACGAAAACACACACACAAACACTAGTCTAGACTACATCCTTTTCCCAATAATTCTTTTCACATCCGGTGACGCGCGTGTGGGGACGCGACGTAAAGACAGACTACTGCTGTAGACTTGTAGACAAATCTGACATTAAGGGTCTAGTCAAGCTGCAGTCAGTGTTGAAAAACAACGGGTCGTGTCCTCTACCCTCTACCGCTATTTCGATTTCATCCAACAAATTCTACATTTTTACCCGAGCAGGTCCAGCGCTCAAAAACATGGATCTTTGCACGGGTGTGTTCTGTAGGGTACTCACAGACCTGTACCGGGGGTGACTACCCTCTGTAATTACCCTACAGACAAGCTTTGTATGTTCTGTAACGCCCCGTACAATACAGCATAGTTCTGTGAGGTTCTGTAGAACCCTCGTACAATACAGAATGGTTCTGTGGGTTCTGTGACACCTCCCGTACCAGTCAGAAGGTCGAAACCCGAGGGATTTGATGCTGGCTCTACTTTGTAGATTAACCATGGTGCGTGGTGTGGTTGCAGACAATAGCATACGATGGAGACACGATGCACGACGCGATGTGACCCAGCCGTCGAAACCACACCCTGACATTCGCAGCGTACGATGATTGCTAATACCTGCTGTTCTGCGCGGTGTCACCGTCTCTCTGCGTGCGGTGTATCACCTCGGTGCCGCTTGCAACTCTGCTGCTGTACATGTCTCTACTTCTCTATGTCTCGGACAGGAGCGAACAGACAATGAGAGAGACAGGAACCGACACAGGAAGGGCAGACGGACCACCTCACCTGCTGATAAGCCCCTGTCGATTCCCCTCCAGCGCAATGCGAGAAGGCGTTGTTGATGATGTGCAATTCTCATCTCAACAGTAAAATACTTGGTCCGTTTCAGAGAGCGGACAGACGAGATCTCTTTCAGCCCGCCGTCGGCTTTGATCGAGACAGAGAGCTCCACCAGCAGCGATCGAGCTGAACTTAACTGCAAGGGCTTTCGTCGAAGTCGACCATCTGTACAAGAGCCCTCGTGTTGTGTCCAACGAGCCAACCCAAAATTCAACTTGTTTCTGTCAACTTCAACCACCGGACGCAGCACCGCGGCGGCAGCAGTGCGGCGCAATGGCGCATATGCGGTGGGATTGACAACGCTTCGGGATTTCGGATAACCCCTGCTGCCGCTGAGCCGCTCCCCGAGAGAAAGCCTATCAGCTTTTGCAAGCCCCTAGCTCGCTCTCCCTCCTGCCTCCGTCTCTCCGCCTGACTTTTTCTGGGGCTACATTTATCCGGGGCTCAAGGGAGCCCCCCTATTGTTCTCTTGGTGTCTGGTGTATCTTCTACTGCCGAGGTGCATGCACTGCATCCAGCAGCGTGTCGTGGCTGTCACACGCGCCAAGCGGGTCAATGTAGTTTTGAAATGCGAAAATACCCGCGCATTGCGCGCGTACCGCCATCGGGCCATCGAGAAGGACAGGAGACGCCGCGCCGCCAGGAAGGCGAGGGATCTGGAAGCCAGCAGGAAAGCCCAGGCCAAGATGAGACGCCCGCGGCGTGACGAGAAAATGGCTTTGCTTTTGAGGCTCCTTGATGCGGTGAGATTCGCATGTTGTATGTTTTATGCACACTGCACAGAAAATTGAAAGAGAAAGATCCAAAGAAGCAGCTCACATTGCACCTACAACGGCGCGTACTTTTGGCTGTGTTTCCGTGGTATCCCGATCCAAGCAACGTGCAAACAAGCTGGTTCGGTTGCCCCACCGAGCCAAATGGCTAGTCGTCCATGTTTGTATACATCGTTGGAGAATTTCGAGGCTGCAAGCTGCAATTCCAGCTTATGCAGTAACGGCAGCTTCCCGATATGTACTCGGCGACATGCCCGTACCCGCAAATAAGTTCGATGCCTTCGATTTTTGGTGTGCTCTAGGATATCTCACACGTACAAAGCACGAAAAGCCAACCCCACCCCGCACAAAATGCCTTACCCAGTTGATACTATGGTACCGAGGTGCAAGGAAGCGCGCACAACTTCAAGGTCGGGCTGAGTATTGCCTGCCTCGAAGCTCTGGGTTGCTGCGATCGATGCTGAACGCTAGCGCAAGGTCAAATACCTTTCCAAAACCGCGCTTCTAAATGCGCATGCAACCACAGACAGACATGATATCGTGCTTTTTTCACCTGCCAGTTTTTTTTCACGTACGCCCCCTACCCACTGAACGTAGGAGCCTCGGTCCTCCTGCAGCGGAGACAGACGGCGATTTCGTCGCCGTGCGCTAATCTTAGTCTTTCTCGCGCGTAAACAAACAGGACATTTTCGGAGAAATCTGCACCAAAACACCAAGAAACCGTAACCAAGCTACATAGACGTAGAAGTGCGTGTTATGTTCAATACTCGGGACTAGATATGATATATGTGGCGGTATATAACGTGAATGGATTGATCGCAGCTTGAGCATGGCGACCACCGAGCCGTTGCCTCTCCCTGAGTGCAAGCGTTGACCGTCTGCCCCCAATCACTTGCTCAACAGCTTGGACGGCCGCTGCATACTTTGGTACGCCAGTGCGTTGATTTCGACGGAGAAGAGACAGACACACACACACGCGCGAAGACAAGAGTGAGTAGTTGGTGAGACTTGAGGCGGTAAAATACATCGGAAAGAATAGTTTGCCGGTGCTTCCCCGTGGCCACGAGGGAGGCGACCCTAACCCTTTTTCAAATCTCTCCATGCCTACCAAGCTTTTCAGATCGTGTCGCCACTACTACTATACCGTGTCTCTCCGATGAGGTACTTGCGGTGGAACCCTGGAAGTTTCCACGCCAAACTAGAGTTGGGGACGCGTGGGAGGAGTGCGGACGGCGGGTACCGGGGTACCTGGAAGAAGGCGTGCGTACCGAGCCCTGCCTGTTAGTGCAGCAGCAGGTCGTTCGTCTGGGGGACCAACTGATCGACCCCACGGCGAAGACCCCCTGGAAATCATACCCGGAGGTCAAGAGGAGGGTGGAGGAGGTTGTAGCCAAGCTAGCAGCCACACGACGCTGCAGAGACAGGTTCGGGCTGCACCAGCAGCATCAGGGGGCGGTGGAGCCCAAGAAGTCCAACCCGGTGACGGTGGAAATGGCGCACGCCATCCCAGAACAGCCCGCGACAGCACTACAGCAGCGCCAGCAGCAGCGCCAGCAGCAGCGCCAGCAGCAGCAGGGAGCAGCGGAGCCCAAAAAACCCAACACGGCGACGGTGGAAACGGCACACGCCATCCCGGAACACCCCGCAACAGCTGCACAACAGCGCCAGCATCAGAGGCCTAAGAAGCCTAGGAAGTCTTCCACACCGCGATTCGCCATCCACGCTTACGCTAGTAGTGAAATGGAGTGGGCGTCTGCTGCCGAATCTAGCTGATCTATGCGCCTGATTTTTTGGTGAACAAAGTTGCCGGGAAGTCTATACGACGATTACAAGCTTGTCTTGTAGAAGAAAGAACAAACAGATGTCCGTGTCCGCCACCCTCGACGCCGACAGGCCGTCTGCCAGCAGTGTCGGCGTCGCGCCGGTGAACCAAATACCCCTGCGCAACATTTTCCTCGCCCAAGTTTGAGAGTGCTGGAGTTCTTGGTCTCCGCCGAGCAGACAAACGCTGTCCTCCAGTAGCGTCGGTGCCACGGTGCACGATAACCCCTGCGTGGCATATTCCTCGCCCAAGTTTATCGTGTTGGAGTTATGCTGGGTCTCAGCCGAGGGGGAGCGAGTTGAACCACCAGTGTTCCGGTCCCGAGGAGGAGGGGAACAGGGAACGAACCCTGAAATCCACCCGAAGACGGCCTGGCAACTGCATGCTTCCTCCTGCCCACGGACCCGGGAAGCACCAGCCGTGCTCCTGTGTGGCAAGGGCGCGGCCCTGCTCGGCGTAGCACCACCGGCACTCTTCTTGTCCTCGAGCCATCGAGGCAAGTACCTCTTGGGAGCATTGTTGGTTGCTCAAAGTAGGCCGCAAAAACATGTCGGCGATTGTGGGATAGAATTGTCGACCACGGCGGAAAGACCCAGAGATCCATCCGTGCGTCACTTCGATATGAATGGTGACCAGGCTGTTCGTTTTTCGACCAATCAAAGAACAGTGTCGTGCCTTTTCGTCCGTAGTATCCAGCCGCTGCCCTCGGGTTCTGCCAACTGCCAACCAACAGGTAATCCCTTCCTCTGTTCTTCCTCTCTCTCAACTTCCAGCGGATCTTGTATGTATGTACTGTACCCTATCCAGACCTGCTGTCCCATCATATATACCAGTCAAGAGTTGCCCAGTCAAGTTGCCATTTGATGATCGAACGGACTTCTACCCTTAGGTTACAGAACCTGGAGGATGCTGCTCTCCTCAAGGAGCAAATGGATGCAGCAATTTTATGTGTTCTCTCGAAAGGTTTGCCGGCATCAAGCCCGGAGCCTCGTGTGACAACCGCGGCCGCTTCGGCGAAGTCTTCAAGTGACGACATGCCATGCCCAAGACTATTTTTTTTTTTCTCCCATCATCAGATTCTGTCGTCTACCCCTCTGGCCCCTATCCTCCACTTCTACTAGCTAGACGACCCAACCGGGGTCACATAGGAGGGGGGGGGCTGGACCCCCTCCTGCGGTTCCTGCCTGAGGTGTTTTTATCGCGAGAAGGGTACAGCAATCCCTTCCCTCGCGACTTACGAAGTCGATTATGGTTTACTAACAACGAGCTTTGCAACGCGTCGCTTTCATCCTAGAACAGGATTTATTTAGTGAATAAAAAACTCACTCTGCCGGCACTCGAACCCATGACCTGACCCTTAGCAGGCTGCGAGGTTACCCACTAGACCACCGGGGCGACCGGTGTTGCTATTTACCAGGCCGAATTATTTTTCTGGTTCCTCCATGTTCCCTGCCAATAGAACTATATATATGGGGTGTGTGATTTTAATTAATTATTTTTCAGGTTTGGGGGGTACATATCTGACCCATTGACCGTGACCAATGCCACCCGTCATCCAAGGGTCTTCGGTCATCTCTGACAACATTCAATGCAGGTATTCGACTTATCAGCAAATTGCCTGCCAAATGATACGCACACCTACTATGTACGTGTATTCAACAGCCAGCAGGGGTGGCACCCCAGCTAAGATTACCAATTACTACACATGTGCAAATGTTTGCAGGACGTATGGTTTCGGCAGAGGAGCTTGGTGAACACGCACACACTTGTACAGCGGTGTCGTTGTTCCACGAGATGTACTATCAAGACGACCGCTCACCAACGACGGAGCTGCTGCGTGTCTGCAAGCGGCTGCATGACCGCAAACGAATGTAGTCCCAAGTCCGGTACATACCAAGCATAGTACCCCACAAGACGCCGGACTACAGCAGACCAACACTGAGTGTTGTTACATGTTGAGATTCTCGAATTTCGGCACCTCGTCAAGGGCGCAGTTGTGGAGGCCGTCTCCAGATGCCCATCAGGTAATTTCGCACCAACATCCTTACAACAGAAAAATGTACCTCCGCCGCATACACCACGCGAGACTACCGCTGCAACAGCTGCCTGTAGCGTACAATTTTCAGCAGTACCCCCGTCCTCTTCCCGCCTACCCGTATGCCTTGACAAAAATCCTAGCTTACGGAGATGAGTGTAGCCAGTTGGGAGCGCTGTGACGACACAGTGGCTAGTGCAGTATCTCGCAAAGGACAGCTCAGCTCTCGCCCCGTTACCGACCACGCCATCCCAACAGCGCGCCGAAACATCTACCTATCTGTCATGTATGCCTTGCCGGCTGTCAGCACCAATCACCACAGCACGTTCCACGGACGCTCGCTCTTCCGGGAGAAGGCAGTCAGTCACTCCTGTGTTTGATAACACGTATTGGCTAGGAAACAGCCACTAGTTGGCGAGTGCCTCACGCGTGCTCACCAGCCTACATACCAAGCAGTGTTTCCCGCAGCAGCAACAGCCTCAAGAACACAGCAGCAGGATCAGCACCGTGTCAAGGGCAGTGTCCGAAGAGCGGGCTTGGGCCTACGTCGGTCCACCTTTGACGGGGTTCGGTTTGGGTACACACGTCAACCTCGGTTGGACCAGTAGTCAATTGTGTCCAGCGCGACCTCGCAGCTCTCCTTGACCGCAACGACGTCGTCCGCCATGAAGGTTCTGAGCAGCCCTTCCGCCTCGTTACCCCCGATCGCTCCGAGAGCTTCCGCCGCCTGGACAAACCAAAATCACGCACACATGCAAAAAGGACGCAAGAATGAGATAAGCAGTCTTATATTTGTCAACACGGACACTACCCAATCAACAAGGAACCAAGTTGTGTAGAAAAAATAAACGTGGGAAACCTGCGTGGTTCAACATTGATGACACCGTTGGGAACATTTCGAAGTATGAGGAAAGACGTGAAAGAAACTTCTTGGTGGAAATCATGTCAAAATAGCACATGTCTTTTTAAGACGCCATCTATCATGTGAGAACATCGACCATCTGGAGGTGTTGTTCTGCAAACGATTCCGCCAACAACAGCAGCATCGTCGACGCGAGCATATCAAAAGACATCACTACACGCGTGTTCAAGCCGAGCGAGCAGTCCCAGAAAAAAAAAAGGTTCGAATACCGAAGCCGCTCAACCAAGTTGACTACCCGCCGTTTGGTTTGAAGGTTGCAGGACAACCCATTGCTTGCATCATCAGACTAGCCAGACCTGAATAATCACTCTCTCCCCTACCGCGACCACCACCAACGCTACCATCCACAGCAGCAACGACAGCAGCAACAGCACGGAGGACATGTTCATGACAAAACAACACACGACCCCACGCAGTGCATGGCCCTCACGTCGACTCGGCGCGTAAGCTTCGGCTGCACGAAGCAATCGGAGCTTGAGCGCCTAATCCTTATCCTCACCTCGTGCCGTACCATCGGGTGTTCCGCTAGGTCTGCGAGGACGGTCCCGAGAGCCGGCACGGTCGCAGGGTGCTGCATCTGCCCGAGAACGTACGCCACCTGACGTGATGCACGTATCTGTCGGCTATCACAACCTCTCGGTCTTGGAGCAGTCGAGTTGTGAAAGGGGTTCTACGGGGTGCGCGAAACTGCAGTCATAAGTCATCACAACAAAGCGCACAAGTGCTTGTCCACCATCGCTGGGAGCAGTTGATTATTAACTCTAGGAAGCATGAAATACGCAAGAAAAATACACCCCGAGAGAGGTCAAGACAGCGCTGAACTGGAGCGATCACTGCTGTTGGGCTCGTTTCGACACAACCGTAGCAGCAGCTGTAGGAGGGGAGTCAAACGCGGAATCCCCGGGTTTGCAGTCGGAGCAACGGGGAGAACCGGAAATCCCTCTTCAAAAAGAAAGCCGCTAAGTACCGACAGGTAAGGACAAATCAAGTAGGTGTCGCAACTTGCTAGATCAAGAAGGTTCAAACAACCAACCACAGGAGACATTACCTCGTGCTTGAAGAGCGCATTATCCTCGCCATGAAAAGCCGCAGCTAGCTCCAGCGCCGCGGCTTCTCCCCCTCTATTTCGGAGAGAGAACATCGCCCTTGTCACGGTGAAAATGAGGGAAGAGGAAACGGAGGGCAGCCAGAACGGTCGCCAATCATTCGGTAAGATCCCAGGACACGATCACGCTTTTCGCTCCATGTCAATATGTGGAGAGAGGGGGGGGGTGTACTCATAGTCGTGCATGCCGTAGTCGCTAGGCCATTGACCTCGCACCCCTACAAAGCCGGGACGGAGCACGCCGGGTTCTCACCGGACCAGGCTCTCACATCACCAAGCGCGAAGCGCCGTGAGATATTCGGCGAGTCGCATGAAGGGTGCGCTGCATCCTGCTAAGTGTGTTCGGCATCTTGTGCTTACTTCCTTGCGTACGGATGACAGCTGCGTATGACTTAATTTATTTTCTGGTGCTTTCACTTCCAGAGACAGTTGTAAGCACTGTGTAACTGCCTCGAGGGTGCTTGACCATTTTAACACAACGTGGTGCGATCATCCCCCTTGCGCGGAGTGAGGGTTCTCCACCCCGCACAACATGATCTACTCGACCACCATTATGGTTACCGTAAAAAAAACAACAGAGGTAAAAAAATAAAACGGTAACCTGGTTGCCGAGCTCACGAGGTGAATTGGCTTGTTTTACAACGTCGTTGCCAAGCGACGAAAACCCAACCCCGATGGTAAAACACCAGGGGGGGACGTGGAGAGAGGGGTTGGCATCAAAGAGAGAGAGAGAGAGAGAGAGAGAGAGAGAGAGAGAGAGAGAGAGAGAGAGAGAGAGAG